TTTCTTGAAAGACTTCAGTTTGTATTCTATGAATTCCCGGAGATATCAGCATGCAGTAAATGAAAATAAATATACTTGAAATGATAGTTTAAGTACATTTATTTTCATTAAATAAATTTACTTTAAAAGATACTGTTTTTCTGAGTAAAGTAAGGATTGAGAGATGCATGTATACTGATGTACAATTGTATAATGACTTCATCAGTATGTGCATTTAAAATTTAAACTATCCGTTTTCTTCCATCTAAAAAACTAACTACTGTGCTTTTTTTGTGTGTGTGTTTGTGGTGAGATGTGATGAATGAAAGTTTCATATTTATAAAACAATGTCATTGAATTTCCTCTCATTTTTCTTTAGGTCGAGATTTAATCTGTATTCAGTCCATGGATGGGATGCTTATGGTGTTTGAGCAGGAAAGCTATGCTTTTGGGAGATTTCTCCCTGGGTCCCTCCTGCCTGGCCCGCTCGCTTACAGTTCTCGGACAGATTCCTTCATTACGGTCTCATCCTGCCGACAAGTAGAAAGTTATAAGTAAGTTTGGATGTTTAATCTTTGAAATCATTATAATTTTTGGTGAGTGTTTTGCTGGTTCAACAGGAACCCTGGTGGTGCCGTGGTTAAGGCTTTTGGCTGTGAATGTAAATGTCGACAGTTTGAACCCACCAATTGTTCCATGGCAGAAAGATGAGGCAGTCTGCTTCTGTGAAGATTTATGCCGTTGGAACCTCCAGGGAACAGCTCCACTCTGCCGTGCGGGAGCTCTATGTGCTACACTTGACTTGATGGCAGTGGGTTGGTTTGTTTTGCTGCAGATTCATGATTTTCTACAAAGAGCTAGAATATTACAAATATAAAAAGAGACTGGCTTCATTGAGTTAGACAATTGCAGTGATTGAGAGCCTATCATTATTAAAAAAAAAGAGTTGAAAGGCACTTGATGGCTCAAATGCACCAGCTGCTCCTTGGAAACCTTATACAGGGTCGCTATGAGTAAGGAGCTCTGGTAGCGTAGTGGTTACGAATCAGGCTACGAACCTGAAATTCAGCAGTTTGAAACTACCAGCCGTTTCGTGGGAGAAAGATGAGGCTTTCTGCTCCCGTAAAGATTTACAGCCTTGGAAACCCCGTACAGGGTCGCTATGAGTTGGAACCAACTCCACGGCACAAGCTCATAACACATAACATGAGTTGGAACCGACTCAACAGCAGTAGTGATTGAGAGTGTATCATTAATGTATTAAAAGTGTTTGGAAGTCTGAGTAATACTATAGAGATATTGTGGAGAGACAGACTTGGGTTACGATCTTCCTTTTGGTGCTCACAGCTGCGTGACTGTCAGTGTTCCGCAACCTGCCTGTAAAACCAGACAAACCAAGCCAGTTGCTGTTGAGTCAATTCTTCCAAGACTCCTCTGAATGGATTTGAACTGACAACCTTTTGGACACTAGCCATGTGCTTACCATTTGCAACACTTTTCTGGCTTTCAAAGAAAAGGATAATGTCATTTTGCCAAGTCTCTTACCTGAATTTACTGAGATAATGCTTGTCAAGTTGCTAGCCTGTCGAAAGTGCTCCATAATTATTGTCACTGCTCACTGATAGCATAAGGTAATAAAGCCCACTGTTGAGTGAGAAAGGCAGATACAAATTGGTCTGTTTACAGTGATTCAATCGTACGAAAGAATGGATGCAGCATAGGAAAACTAACGGCCAGAAGTACAAATTTTGTTATGAATGTTAATTGTTTTTTCAGAAGCGAATTCATAGTAGAGGTAAAGTGTGGAAATGATCCTTTCAAAGCAGTTTGTGTTCTTTTCTGGATATCCTTAGTGATCTTGTTGAATTGTGTTTAAGGGAGATCTTTTCTCCCCTCCACTAATTTCAGTACACTAAGGTTTTGAGATTTTGAAGGATGTGTTTTTTGTTGGAAGATGTGTTTTTTGTTGGAAGAGAGATTGGGGAAAATAAAATAAAAATCAATGCTAGGAAAAGTAATAGACTTAAAAGATTTCAATATATTCAGTAACTTTATTGTTGTTATCTTACTGATGGCAGCATCTCAAACTTTAAATATTCAAGCAACACATCATTACAGTTTTTCAGTATTATTTTTGGCCACATGATTTCTCCCAGGACAGGAAGAAAATATAAATTCATCAGGCAACAGTTGTAAATTTTTATCTTCTTGTTTTCAGCGTTGGATGTATAGTAAGTTAATGCAGTTTTTTCCTTTGTAAGTAGCAGTCTACCTTTTGTGAGTTTTTGTCAAGGTATCTAGGGTTCAAAACTCTGAAAGTAAGCAGTTGTTTCTGACTAATCAGGTGTGAACTGATGGTAGTAGTGCATCATCATCTCACATTCCTTCATCTGGACTCTCACGGTTCTTGTTGACAATGAGTCGGTCCCAATTCATGTTGACTCAGTATAGGGTTTCTGAGGCGTGACTGGTGAGTTTGAACTGCCAACCTTATGATTCAAACTGACCTTGAGGTTCAGTGCTTATCCTATAACAAAACACATTTGTTTGCGAGTTTGGGAAAAATATCTGTATAAAATATTCACGACTTTCCAAACTTCAGCAGTATTGAGGAGGTCTGCTTTTCAGCTTTGCACACAAGTCTGCGTCTTACCTTCTGCCAAGTAGCGATATTGGCAGTACTAGCCAAAAGGTCACAATACAAAGATTTGAAAGCTCCATTACTTACTCTTTGAAATATGTGCGTTGGAATTAATTTGGTAATAACTCTAGCAGTGATTTGATGAGGAAGCAATGTGGAGGTTATTTAATGTATGAGTTTAATCTTTCAGAAGCCCACACTGTTGTATCTGTGATAATTTTCCGACATACCAATCTATTAGATTCATCTCCATTTAGGACTTTACAAAAATGTGCACTTTATCCATCATGCGAATCTTTGAAAATGGTAAAAATGTATGGGATATGTGATTATAATGAAATCATGACCATCAAGAAGATTTATAATATTGCATAAGTATGTTGTAACTAGTGTGTGCTTTCAGGTTTAATAGATTGAATTAAATGATCATTACTGTTACAATTTAGGATGAGAGAAAGCTTGAAAAATGTAGTTTTGCTCTTTTGAGCTTCATTAAATCTATCTATAATCAGTTAATAGAATGTGATCAGTTAATAGAATAGGCTTATAAGACATAATGCATTTTCACTTTTGATATTAATATTTAATTAAAACCAGCTCATTTTTATACAAATGGGAACTATCTAAGGCTGTGACTGTCCAGCTTTAGTGTGAATAAGAATCCCCAGGGCAGTTTCTTATAAAATGCATTATTTTCACATCAACAGCAGATTTGTATTGAATTGATTTAGGGATGTTGTTGTTGTTGTTAAGTACCATGGAGTCAATTTCGACTCATAGTGACCCTGCACAGGGTTTCTGAGGCTGTAAATCTTTACGGGAGCAGAACGCCTCATCTTTCTCCCGCGGAACTGCTGTTTCGAACTGCTGACCTTGAGGTTGTCAACCTGACTCGTAGCCACTATGCTACCAGAGCTCCCTTGATTTAGGGATAAGATCCAGAAATTGCCATTGTAAACACATACTCCAGGTGACCCTAATTCAGGGCCACACTCAGAGGATTGTTTTTCTTTACAAGTGGGAACATTGCTGGTCCTTATTTTGAATTGGGGGAAGGAGGCTTTCTTGTTACCACTCTCTTGGCCACGTGTGCCCAAAGTTTGGATCATCTTCTCTTCCCTGTTCTTTCCTTTGACTGCCAGAGTTAGTCAGTCAACCCTGCTCTCTATGTCTCTTAGTCCGTTTTTTCCTTCTCTTTCCCCTTCTTTCAGTTCTTTATCTTTTCACCTTGATTTCTGGTGTTCTTACCTCTAATCTAGGCATTGAATAGTCTTTCTCATGCACATTGTGTAAAAACACTTAAGCCAGAGTAACTATTATAGCCCATTGAGAAGTCTAGCATGTCTTACTTTGACATCCAGTGCCTTTTATAATCACATTCTACTATACCTCTATATTGGTGTCCTGGTGTGGCTCTGTGGGTTAATGCACTAGACTGCAATGTGAGTTTGAACTGCAAAGTGGTTCAGGCTCGCCAACCGCTCCTTGAAAATCCTATACAGGGTTGCTGTGAGTCTGAACAGATATCATGGCACTCAACAACAACAACACCTCTATAATGTGAGCTTTCAGATTTGGAAGTCACTTTTAAAATTAACTGGCTCAGCTATCATCCTTTCTTCACCTTTGAGATATATTTAATGAGTCAGCATTGACCTGCAGCAACCAACAAGAAGACATATTATTACTTTTCCCACTGATTTAATTTTTTCATTTTGTACGGTTCATTTTTATGTCTCTCTCTCTCTTTTTAAAATATTTTATTGTGAATTATATGATAGTTTACATGGGAGAATATTAGCTTCACATTCATCCTATCATGGCCATGGTTACAATCCCCTCCATGCATCATCAACCAACCAAAGGGTATACCCTGCAAGCCTGCCCACCCCCCGACCCCCAGTCTTCAGCACACAGCCCCTCTCTCTCTCCGGGTCTAAAGTCCCTAGCTGCTCCATCTCTTCACATCATCGTCTCTGCCTCCATCTCTGGCGTCACTGCTTCTCTGGGTAGGGTCCCACACTCCGCTCTTCTCTCTTGATGGTCCCAGGGTCCTCTGCTCCTGGACTGCAAAATCAACCACTCCCCTCCTTTTGCTACAAAATGTCTACCTTTACATTTCCAACCCTCACAGCCAGTCCTGATAACAATTAGTCACTATTGTTTCCAAAGATTTTTGTGCAAAGCAAATATTGCCTTCTTGCAAATGTTCCAGAGTGTGTCTTATAACATCAGGTTTCTGAAAGCAGAATCTCCATCTTGACATCTGTTTACTGACTGAATAATTTAGTTGAATTATTCAACCACTCATTCATTCAGCAAACATTTTTCAGGACACTCTTCTGTGCCACACACTGTGCAAGGTACTGGAAATGCAAAATCAAATAAGACTTCTCTATTGCCCTCCAGCAGTTTTCAAGCAAGTGCCAGAGACCGCAAATCAGTCTGCTCTTTCAGTCCACTGTCATACAGTATACAGCCAAGCTTTCTGTGGCATACCCAGGGCAGTCTAGAGATGGGGATCTCTCAATTCCACTTGAATTCAGGGAGCATTTCCTGGTGGAGCAGTGGGTTAAGCATTGGGCCATTAACAGAAAGGTTGGTGGTTTGAACTCACCAGCTGTAGCGCATAGCAATCTGCTTCTGTAAAACTCACAGCCTCGGAGACCCCATGGAGCACTTCTCCTCTGTTCTACAGTACAGGGTCATTAGGAGTTGGAATCAACTCAATAGCCATGGGTTTAGTTTTCTGGTCCTAAACAAGTAGACTGGCCACAAGTTTTTATTTTTTCTCCTTTTCTGTTACCTACTATGTAGTTCCTACTACATTGCTAAGCAAGTAATGGTCTTTGGGCATTTAAATATGTGTTTGTTTGACAAGTTGATTTTCAAAAACCAGACTGTGGTCTTCACAAGTCTTATGCTCTGATCAAATTGAAATATTTGGTGTTCCCCATATATGTTAAGAGTCACTAGAGAAGGGTCTGACTCCACAGCACTTAGTAACAACAACATATTATGTGAAGGGATTTTCTCTCTCTCCTTTTCTCATGCTTTCCCTGTTTGAATTGCTGTTCACTCCTTCTCTGCATATAAACATTATTTCTGAAACCTCCCTGCCCCCCTTTAGTTCTTTCCTGAACTAGCTGTAAGTAATGTCTCTTCGTTCTCGATTCCCGAGTAGCTTTTTAATGCTTCCCATAGTACTAATTATACTTGCACTGATGTTAAATGTTTGCGTGTTTACTTTTCTCCTGGTCTAGACTAATGATTCCATGAGAGTATGAATTTTATATCTTAGAAAGTGCCTCACACTGTAGTTGTTGTTAAGTGCCATTGAGTCAGTTCCGACCCATAGCAGCCCTGTATAGGGTTTCTTAGGAGCAACTGGTGAGCCAACTTTGTGGTTCACACTGACCTTGCAGTCCAGTGCACTGACCACAGTGCCACACCAATAGAGTAGGCCCAGACTAAAAGACTTGCTGAAGGAGTGAAAAATTTATAATGAAAACTTCGACTTTGTTGCTGGCATCCTTCACTGTAAATGACTCTCCTGTGTGCAATCAACAATGTTTTAGTCATAGTTGAAATCAGCATGGTAATGCTTAGTATTCAGAACTTCCATTTCTAGTAAAGTTCTCCAGGTTAAATATCAAGGTTCCCAAACCTCCTGGTACCCCATTGAGGTGACAACTGTGTTTCATTTGAAAATAAATGACTTTGGAGGGTGTGCGTTTGTGATCTGTGGCACTTCAATCCATATTTCAATCACTCGGTGTGATTTTTATGATGTGATATGGCAGCCCACTAAATTATATGGTAGGGTTTGTCATGGTGCCTCATAAGACCTGTGGTTTTAAACGTTTGTGGCTCTTGGGTCAAAAAGCACCACTGTTCACCAGACTTGCTGTATTTGTGATTAATCCGTTTTTTTTTTTTTGAGAAATACCTATGGCATTCTTTCATAAATTCTTGTTACATTGATCCTGATTGTTTTTTCAGCAATCTCAACAAGGGAATTGTATTCTTTAGCTTCTATCATGGAACACTTAAGGCTTTAAAAAAATTTTTTTTAAGATCCAAGTGTTTTCTTAATTCATAGTTTCCTAGGCAGTTTGAAATTGTTTGGTTTTGGAAATAGATTTTCATGTACATTATTGGTCACAGTTGAGAAGGGTTAAGGAAGAACCATAAAAGAGAGGCAATTTTAAGTTTGTCATCTTCTAAATTTGTTGTTAGCTCTGTTTAAGCAATAAAATACTCTCCTGAGTTGTCTTCCAGGAAGAGCAGTGATTGGGATTTGGGAATCAGAAGTCTGTTTGGCTGTATGTCTGCTTGGTGTTTGGATAAGGAGGCCACTTTAGGGGCTCATGTTATGCTTCAGATGAAATAGTAACTCTTTGTTTAATGGGAAACTTGAAACAACTCAAGGAGATTTGGAATTTTACAGTGATCTCGTTAATCTCCATATCATCCTCCAGTGGGTTGGTGTCTGCAGGCAATGAGCCTCCTATGTTATTAATTGCTCAAAGTTAGATCCACAGCAGGACCAGCTCTCGGCTGATGTTCTGGTCACCAGTGCACACGCTGACTGTTCCTATGAACTGGGAATATAAGCAATGAGATTCGGAGGGTGGAATGTAGGCCAAATTCTTGGGCACCTGGGGAGACGTTGAGCTTTTGAAGGTCCATCTCAGATAGTGTGCAGAGATTTGCTGCAGTTTTTACCTGTGGCGTTTTTGAGCATGGTTTGACAGGGCTGCTTTAGATCTTCACCCTCCTACCTTTCTCATCATCCCCTCCCCCATGAATTTCTCCCAAGCGTCTGTAGTGGCCTTTCACGTCTCTTTCACTGTTTCATGCCTTTGCGTGTGCTATCTGTTTGACTCCAAGTGCCTTCCCCCCCCCTCCATAGCAAGCATGATCAACTCTCACTCATTCTTTAAAATCTAGCTTTCTCCTCCTGAACATGTACCAAAAAACATCTCCTCCACCCCAGTTACTTGCTTCTGCCGCTAAGTTCCCTTCTTACTGGGTACCTAAAAACGAAACAAAGCAAAAAGCCTGAAAAAAACAAACCTCAACAAATTGCTGTGGAGTTGATGCAGATTCATGGTGGTCCCCTGTGTCGGAGTAGAACTGTACTCCAGAAGGTTTGCAGTGGGGCGTGGGTTTTTTTTTTTTTTTTTGCATTCAGATCACCAACCTTTCTTCCAAGGTGTCTCTGGGTAAATTCAAACTGTCAACCTTTTGGTTAGCAGCCAAATACATTAACCGTTTGCGTCACCCAAGGGCCTACTGGTGTATACATATTCTCTATTATTACTGGGGATTCTGTGAGAGAAAAATGTGGCAGTCTGCTTCTGTAAAGATTTAAATCTTAGAAACCCTTTGAGGCAATGACCTTGTATTTTTTGGTTAGAATTAATATACCATTAATTTTGTGACTTTAAACTTTATAGACTAAATAAATCATTAAACAAGTCTCCAGGAACGCCAATAAAAATGTTTCAGCAATCTTGATTAGAATCATTCACTAACCCATCCCAAGAAATTTGGAAGACAGCTACCTGGGCAACTGACTGGAAGAGATCTATTTTTATGTTAGTTAAAAAGAAAGTTGAACTGCATATCTATTTGCAACAGAATGAAAGAAGACCCGTATGTTACACCGTATACAAAAACTAGCTCACATGGATTAAAGATCTAAATGTAAATCAGAGAACTATAAAGATCATCAGTGAAAAAATAGGGATACACTTAAGGGTTCTAATACATGGTATACATAGATTATCAAACATGGCAAAAAACACACAAACTATAGAGGACAAAATAGAAACTGGGACATACTAAAATTAGAAACTTATGTGCATCAAAAGATTTCACCAATAAAAAAGGAGCCCACAGATTGAGAAAAAATTGTTTTGCAATGACATATCAGACAAGGGACTAATCTCTAAAATTAATAGGAAACTTCAGTACTTCTACAAGAAAAAGACAAATAACCCAATTAAAAAATGGGCACCAGACATGAACAGACACTTCACCAAGGAAGACATTCGGGCAGCTAACAAACATGAAGAAATATTCACGATCATTAATCATTAAAGAGATGCAAATCAAAACAACAATGAGATATCATCTCACACCAGCATTAATAGCGAAGTTCACAGAGGACAACAACTGCTGGCGAGGATATGGAGAGACTGGGACCCTCCTACATTGCCGGTGGGACTGTAAATGGATCAACCACGTTGGAAAATGGTATGGCACTTCCTCAGAAAGTTGGAAATAGAAATAAATACCTTATGATCCAGCAGTTCCTCTGCTTGGTATGTTTCCATAAGAAATAGGAACCAGTATACAAGTAGATACATGCATACCAATGTTCATCACAGCACTATTCACAATAACAAAAAGATGGAGACAGCCTAAGTGCCCATCAATGGAAGAATGGATAAACAAACGTTGGTACATACACACAATGGAATATTATGCTACCTTGAAGAATATCAATGAAGCTGCAAAAAAACACCTCATAACGTGGATGAACCTTGAGGACATAATGCTGAGTGAAATTAGTCAGGCACAAAAGGACAAATATTGCTTAAGATAATTACTGTAAAATCTTAAGAAAATATTTCCATAATAAAAGAATAATTCTTTGATGGTTACCAGGGGTGAGAGGGAGGGCACAGTAACTCACAGGTTAAGTGATAGACACATGGTAGCTCAGGTGATGGGGAGGGCAATGAAAAGGAGGGGGAAGATAAGGCATGAAGAGGGGAGGGAGGTAGATGCATAGGGAGGTATGCATAGGCTAAATGGGATAGAGGTAGATTGTGACGGATGTATAGACTTGGAACAACAGTGCTCTAAGCTGTAGGGATAGAAAAATAGACTGAGTAGGTAAAGGTGGGGAAATATTATTAAGGTGCTTGACTGTTATGTGGATATTGGCTTTCTCTGCCAATTACTATTGTAATATAGACATTTATGTGGGATAGAAAAGAATATTAGGAAATATGATTAGAGAAAGCATGTAAGCCCATCTTCAGCCTATAACTGATTGTATTATCTAAAAGAGGACTAGAGTGTGCCCAGGGAAATGAGTTTCTTGTTTAGCCTTTGTGGAGTACGGGGCCTTAGATGGAATTCTGAGTCCCACCCAGACAGAACCTTTGGAGATGGGACATTCCCAATTGAAAAGACATGCAGACCAACCCAGAACAGCTAGAAGAGAAGATACTTCTTGAAAAAAGACCAGCAAGGGAAGAAAAGAAAAACAAAAACAAAAATAAAAAAATTGGCTGTGACAATATCAAGCAAACTGTTTGCCTTGGAGCCATCAAGGCAAGAAAATCAGCCCATTTAGGTAAACCCCTTTCTAAGATGGAAATTCAGAGGGAACGTACGAGCAGTCTTGTATGCTCGTTGGTGACTGCCCTGGTCAACTTGTGAGGGGAAGTGGGGGAAATGCAGCAATGAAGACATGGGCTAAGTTTGGCCATGTTCCATAGATACCTGATGACCTTGAGATAAGAGAGAGAAGAGGAAGGGCTGGCTGGTTTGAAGTTCAGGGAGACGTGTGAACTCCCGAGCCCAGGGACCTAGCCACTGGGGCCTAGAGTTAAGAATGAAGCAGCCAGCTGGTCTGATGTGGGGGATGGCGTGTGAGAACTTACAAACTTGCAGACAATACCCATTCGACCTAGTTTGGATGGCTTGCTGACCAGAACTGGGTCAGATGAAGATTAAGAAGTTTGATATAAGGAGCAAGAGTAAATTGCTACAACTTGATGAACTGGACCTTTGCTTATGGATGAAATTGCACCAAATTCCAACCGAAAGAAAAGGATTCTTCTTATCAAGAATCAAGCTTGCCACTTCAGCATACTGAGTTGATTGGTGGTTATGTGCCATGGATGGAGTCGGTTCCGACCCATCGTGACCCTGTACAAAGTTTCCGAGGCTGTACATCCTTATGGGAGCAGAAACCCTCAATTCTCCCGCGGAACAGCTGGTAGTTTCGAACTGCTGACCCTGAGGTTAGCAGCCCGATTCGTAACCACTATGCTACCGGAGTCCTGGTGTGGCGCTGTGGGTTAATGCGTCAGACTGCAAAGCCGTTTGAACTGCAAGGTCGGTTGTTCAGGCTCACCACCTGCTCCTCAGAAACCCTATATAGGGTTGCTATGGGTTGGAACCAACTTGATGTCACTTAACAACAAACTATCAGTGCTCATGTAAGCGACAGTCAAGAAATCAAATAACAGTTTGCACTGGAAAATCTGCTGCAAAAGACCTCTTTAAAGTAATAAAGAGCAAAGATGTCACTCTGAGAACTAAGGTGCACCTGATCCAAGCCATGGTATTTTCAGTCATTGTATAAGCATGTGAACTCTGGGCATTGAATAAGGAAGATAGGAAAAGAATATATGTATTTGTATCATGGTTGTTGTTGTTAAGTGCCATAGTGTCGGTTCAAACTCGTAGTGACCCTGCACAGGGTTTCCGAGGCTATAAATCTTTACGGGAGCAGAAAGCCTCATCTTTCTTCTGCAGAACGGCTGACATGGTATTGGTGAAGAAATTGAAAGTACTATGGACTGCCAGAAGAACAAACTAATCTGTTTTAGAAGAAGTACAGGCAGAATGCCCCTTAGAAGTGAGGATGCTGATACATCATTACACTAACTTTAGCAATGCTGTTAGGAGGGAACAGTCCTTGGAGAAGACATCATGCATGAGATAGTGATTGTCTCATTGATCATCCCCCAGTGAGATTGATTGACACCGTGACTGCAGCAGTGAGTTCAAACATAGCAATAATTGTGAGGTTGGTGCAGATCTGGGCAGTGCCACTTTGTTGTAAGTAGGGTGGCTATGAGTCAGGATCGGCTTGATGGAACCTAACAACAACAACAATAGCAGATTGAATGACATTAAGAGTTGCTTTTAAGAATAATTTAATTACTGAAATAGAAGGTGTAAAATACTTATGGAAAGCCATGGTGTCCACTACTGAGAATTTATTATATATGCCAGATAAACTACTCCTGGTGTTAAGTGCTGTTGAGTCGGTTCCAACTCACGGTGACCCTGTATAGGGTTTCCGAGGAGCAGCTGGTGAGTTTGAACCACTGACTTTGTGGTTAGCAGTTCAGTCCACTGCTTGCTCTACAGTGCCACAGTAGGACTCTGATAAACTGATATGTTCTTTGTATTTATCAATATATGAATCTGTTTATTGTTTATCTGTCAATAT